ATAGCCCTAGTGTGCTTTGCCATAATTAAATACACACAATACACATACGGATATCTTGTAAAGCTTTGTTAAGCCTTTGTTAAAGTTCAACACTATCTTCTGTTCTTTTTTAATTTCTTCATTTTATTCTTCCATAGGTCCAAACTGAAAACTAAATAATGTTGACATAGAGTTGAGGGCTTGTAGTAAATCATTTCTAAGTTGTCATATTTATTATCCAAAAAGGAAATAATAAAAGTAATTTTTAAAAAAAAATTAAAGCAATTCATGTGGGAAGTATTGTGGCAGAAAGCGATTTAAAAATGGTTAATAGTTAGTGTAATAAAACAATAGATGATTGGATAAGTATTGTTATTTATATAAAACGTTATTCAGGACCAAAAACGATAAATTGTGTGAGTGGAAAAATAATTATCGCAGATATAATAATTCAAGGTTTTATTGTATATAATCATGGTTAATTATATTAATATTAATTGTAGACTCTATAGTGAAAACAAGTTTGAAATGTATAAAATTGTATTGAAATTAACAAAGAAATGAGAGCAAATGAGTATTTCTGTATGCAGTTTTATTATTGTCAGTTTTGTCTGTGATTAAATTTGTCTGAATTTTTATTTTTATTATTTTTAAGAGCTTTATTAGCTGATATTGAACTTCATTACAAAGATCCAAGTAAACCTTATCCTAAGGAAGATAATCCTCTGTTGTATGAATTATCTTCATACTTGGAGTGGGCTGGAATTTGTAACCCTTTAGCAAAAGTATGAATTCTTCATGTATATTCTTTGATTGATGCATGTTTTTATCCTGTTTAATAAAGATATTATGTTCAAAATATTCATTCGATACTATTAAAATTCATTGTGTTAATTTAAATAAAAGTTCAGAAAATTGTCTAAAATTATTAAAGCAATATTCTTCCCTCCTCTTTAATTTTCACATACCATGTGGTCATTAAAAATTTTGATTTGTTTTCCATTGTAAGTACTAAAAATAACTAACTTAGTCATTAGACTTTTATACAACACATTAAGAATAATATTTTTAATGAAAATTTAGCAATGGCCAGAAAATTAAAGCTATATTTGAGACAGTTACTGTGGGTTTTTCCAGCATAAGTTCTAAAACAAAATTCTGTCAAAGTAAAGAAAACTCTGTAATATTTTAATAAAAGTAATATCTGTATGTAGGTTATACTGTCAGGGTTTTGATTGCCTTGAAAAAGACCTCAGTGTTTTTAAAATTAAACATTGGTGGATAGTTGTCAGGAACGAACCTCTACAAGAGGGAATGATCATTTTTGAGCTATTGCTATTGAGCAGGAAGATGTGCTGGGAAAGAAAAATTATCTTTGTGTTCTGAAGAATTGAAATCAATGAAAAATTCATTTTGTAATGCACACTTTTTAGACATCATATACTATTTTTGTGCCTTTATGAAAATTGTTTATTATATGCCACATTAAGTATTGTGAAATTCAAAATTCTTATACTACATTAAAAATCATTTAGAATGTATTATGTATGGTTAAAAAATTAATTTGGTAATTATACTATTGTAAAATTTGAGTAAGATAGTTAAGCTGAAATTTCTTATCTTCTGTATTTCTTAAAAACTTTAGTTTTTTTAAATAAAAATATATAATTTTTTCACAATTTACATTTTTGAATTGCTATGTATTGAATGTTTAATTTTTCTAATTTATTTCAGATCTACATAACAACCAGACCTTTACCTCATTTGTCACTGTTTATGTTCCTGTTTGTTACCTCCCAGTTTTCAAAGTTAACATATGAAAAAAGCATTGGTAATTTAATGAATTTTTTGAAAATTAATATTTGATGTAACTGTTTTATTTAAATGAATTACAGAATTAAAAGAATGGAAATTTTAAAAATTTCTTTAATATGCTTATTTTCACAATACCAAAAAAGGAAATTATTCTTCATTTACAAATGAAGGAATAAATTCCTTTTTTGGTGTTATGAATAACAGAATCCATTTTTATTTCAAGTAAAATTAAATTTTATTTATATAGGCTTTAAACACATAATCTTGATATCTGGTTTTCTGCCAAAAAAATGTTCTTAATAAAGTTGGGGGGGGGGAACATGAAAGCAGTATCTTTAGTGCAGGTAGTAATCACCACCCAAATCTATGATTTTCTGCCATTTTGGTAGTTTTTCAAAGACTTCGGCCCAGAAACTTGGTGGCTGCAACTCTAAAAACAGATTGACTTCATTTTTTACGTCCTCTGCAGAATGGAAGATAGCACCAGGAAGATGCAGCTGCAGATGTGAAAAAAGTCAAAGTTTGAAGGAGCGATGTCAGGCTATATAGTGGGTGTGGCAAAGGATCCCATCTAAGTCCATTCAGAGCCCAGCCAGTGCATGCAGACACATGTTGTCTTGTATGATCTTGTACTTTGATGTTTTTCCTTGATAGTTGAATTTTGTGTAAAATATAACTAGTAGTCTTTATTTCACTTCTCATTTTGTTTCATGAATAATTTTGTATTTTTAATTTCAATAATTATTTTTCGTCTTTTTCTTCCAAGATGGCTTAATAAGCCGAAAAATTACTGATGGAATTGATGGATTGCCTTTTGTCATTGGTACGTTAACATTCCTGCACCAGTTTCATCAAGATCATAAAAATAATTTCCTAGCATACATGGGACAGTATATTCGGTCAGTGATGGATACTATTCGGTGAGAAATTGTTGCATATTTTCCCAAAACTACTTAAAAATATCAGTAAAAGTAGACAAAGAAATTTTAATATTGTTAAATATATTAAAAAATTCAGATTTTTAATTTTGTTTTAATTTGTTTTGTTATAAAACTAATCATAAAAGTAATACATTAACTTCAAAAAATTAGAAATTTTCTGCATAGAATGTTAATATGAGTGAAAAATAGAAGCCTTTATATCAAAACCAAAGAAATAAAATCTTAAACAAAAAAAAAAAAAAAAGGAAAAAAACGTTGTAGCTATTGATATATAATATAATATTAGGAAGACCTTGGGACGGTTGATGCTGTAGTCAAGTTGCTAGTTTAATTCTAAAAATGGAGTGTATAAAATAGGCATATTTACTTCATGGGGCACAGACGGAACTTTAAGTAATTAAATATATTTATTTATTTTTTATGGACTCGACAGAAAGGAACAACCGGCAGATATTTTAAATTCTCTGTTTCTTGAACAATGTGGTGAAGATGGGCCTTCGAGAAAGTTATAAACTTCAACTAATTTTTTCCTTATCTATATAACCGTCTGCCCATATCGGAATGGGAGATGGTTAAGAAAAAGGGAATTTTTTCTCCAGGCAGCCAGGCCCATATACACCTTACTCATAGAGAACAGAAGCTAAATAAGATCTTAGACTGGTATGAACTTGCCTATACTTATATAATCTGAGAACATTTTAGTCTGAAATTAAATCAGCAATGTATAAAGTAGAAATGAGGAGATTGTAATGGCAGAATACTTCGTGTTTGTATATTATTTTATTTTATTATTTTGTTTTGATTTCTAAAACATTTCTTCTGTATTACACATTATATTTTTATTATTAAATTCATAAATTGCAAGAATAATACATGCTCATTTAGTTACCTTTTTTGGAAGGTGATTGGTACAATATTAGTTGTAGGTGAGAAACAGCTTTTAGAATATTATCTGAAAATTTTGCTTATTGGCTTAAGTTCATGATTTGATTATTCTAAGTCAGTTTAGAGATTTTAATAATCAATTATACTAACTAAAAATAAAATATATGTTGTAGCTCTATATTTTTTCAAATCAGATTACTTTTTTTTAATTGGGAGAAATTATTTTTGAATAAAAATCGTGCATTTTTAACTGGTAATTGTTATATAAAGCATCAAATATTATAATAATTATTTAATTTTAATAATTTGAAGTGTATTTATTAATTAATGATAACAAGGCTATTTTTCCTCTGTACTTTTACTTCACTCATTATAGACTACCACCATCACATCATTATCACTTTATTTATATAAAGGAAAACTGGAATTTATGTGATTACTGCATATTTCTTCAAAAATTCTGTCTGCTTTTTCTACTAGGATATAGTAACAAAATTTTAAATTTTAATCAAGTATTGTAGTACGTTGTAGATATAGTATCGCATTAAAAGACATTTCCATCTTAATATCTATTTAAAAAACTGCTACTAAATTACATATTAACAAAGTGTATTTTTAGAAAAGACGTGCATGTAATGCTTTATAAACTGATATTAGCTTTATCTTAAATTATACTTTTTAGCAATCTCTTATTCATTCCAGGCTTACTGTTCTATTATCCTGTATAACTTTATCAGAAATTTGATTTTATGTATAATACTTTAAATACAGAGTGTGTTTACAAATTTTTCTAATGATTTTGCAAAGATTTATATGTAAACAAACCTCAAAATTTTATTTTCTAATATATTGAATCTGATAGCCCTTTTGTTGCACAATCATATTATATTTTGATTTTCTTTTCTTAAAGCTCAGGTGCTATATTTCCATTCCTCCTTCAACTTTCCAGAGTCCATCAATGTTTTGGGAGTCGCTTGTAAAGAGCTTGTTTAAAAGCCAAATGCCGAAATCCATAGGAGACACATGAGAAGATTTGCATGGGATGCATTTTAAAGGAATAGCTTCAATTCTGTTTCATTTCTCTTTTTTTTTTTTTTTTTTTTTTTTTTTTCAAAAAATAGAGCAGTAGATTTAGAGGTATGGCTTGGAGCCTTATCCTCATGGAACTTAATACAGTGAAGATTGTTTGGATAAAGAGATATAATTTCTTCTTTAAAAATAGGTGTTAAAACATATTTCTGATAGTAATTAATTTTCACAGTTTTTCCTACTTTCCTTATTTTAAGTTTTCCGTTATAAGAGAATCCAATAATAACCATAAAACCTTTGGAAAAAGTTTTCTTATTTTCTTTGAACCAACATAATAAGTCTTTTTTTCTCCTCTTTTTCGGTTGTAATTATTAAATCGATCTTTTGCTATTGCAGTCAGTTAAGTATATCCAAACCACAACAATTGTAACTATATATTTCCATTTTTCATCTTTCAAATAATTTTTTTCATGCAGTAGTCTGCACATAGTCTTTCGCCGAGAAACATGTTTTGGCGTTAGGCAATGAACACCACGTTTTTTGTTTTGATTAGCTTTCAATCAGATTTTATAATTTTGTGTACAATTCCTGCAGAGATATTTAAAGATTTTGCAATAGCCGTTTGATGGGCTGTATTTTCCTTTAAAGCATGAGATGCGACTAGATTTAATAAGAGCTGTATGTGCTTTTTATTGCCTTTTTCCCAGTCAGACGTTGACGTGTTTTCCTTTCATATTAATTATGTCACTTATTTTATGTGTAGAAATATTAAAACCATGCTTTCACATCTTTTTTTAATAACTAATTAAGAATATTTCTCGTCAGACAGCGCAAAAATGTAGGCTTTGATCCATTGTTTGTTCCAGCCACATTTTAAAGAATGGAATATTTTTAATGCTGCAGACAATAATTAAACCTTATTGCAATTGGATGCCAGTCACATTTGTATTTTAAAATTAATATTTAAATTCATAGAGAAAATCAAAATCATTACAAAAATGAGTGAACACCCTCTGTATATAAAATTTTTGGAGTTGAAATTTCAAAGGCTCTACTATTTTCCCCTCTGCAATTATTGGTGTTGTTAATATAAAAAAGAATGTTTTCTTCTGAAATGTGTTCACTTGCACTCAGTGTCAAAACAAGCAAACTATTTTAAGCTACTCTTTAAAATAAAAAATCAATGGGGGAGAAGATTGCATAACATTTACTAATTAAACGAGCTGGGTACTGTAATATCTTGTTATTTAATAAATAAGTATAATTATTGTTGAAGTGGCAACGCCATATTTGTATCAAACCGTTACTCAGGAACGCGAGATTTTATTAAAAAAAGATTAGTATTCTGAAGATTTTACAGCTAGGAGTAGGATGAAATTTTGGCACTTAAGAATTGTATAAAATTTGTCTAAAACCGTGAACTAGAAATAAAATTTATGTTCTTACTAAGAGATTGTCGTTTTGTAAATTACTACAAAATACATTACAGTCTTAATAAATTGGCAGTTCCACCGGGAGGTACTGGATTAGGAGTGAATTATCAATTTCGATGGTGCTGGTTCTCCTAATCCCAGAAATTTACTGAATTTTTTAGAACAAGTTTGCTTATACCAATTGCTGAGTTTTGTTTATTTCAAGAGAAATAGATGTAAGAGTCTGCCGTTTTAAGCCAGATTTGAAGCGGATTATTCAAAGGTTATCTTCTGTGCTTTCTGTAACTTGCGTCCGAGAAAAATGTCAAAAAAAGGATATTGCTGATCTCTGAAGATAAGATCAACTTTGGGTTTTCTTAAAAAAGCTTTATTGAATTTTAATACTTTGTTTCAAAATTATGGTTTATCGTGTAAGATTTTGTTTAAAATAAACTGACACTAAAAATTCAGCTTAAATTTATAAGTGATATTTGTGGTAAAAAGTATTTAAAAATTATTATTATGCTTTACTTTTAATGTATTAAAATTATGTTGAATTGTATGTGTAAGCCATCCGGCATTTATTATATAAAAAAAAAAAGAACTGATAGCTGAGTTTTTGAATTTGTTGCAAGCAGCGCGTGAACATAAGTAATAAGTCAAACTGACGTAGAGTGAATTGATTTACTGCAGAATTGGCAAAGTCTAAGTCTCGCCATCCAGGCGTGGGGTAGATAGTAACGTCATCCGAAGTATTACAGATTGTTTATTTAAAAGTGTATTGCCAAACTGGCAAAAATTGTTTGTATCGCCAACCAGGCGTGGAGATAGATAGTTAAATCGTCAAACACATTGGTAAAATTTCCATTGTATTGCCTAACTGGCAAAGTGTTTTAGTTTTATATAGTTATAGCTTGAGGATTGTGAAAGTAGTTAAAACGACGTAGTATAAATTATTTTGTGCCAACCTGGCAAAGTTGTTTTAAATAATTCTCTCCAATTGGTTTAGTGTGAATTTCATATTCGAGAAATTAAATCTCGCCAGAAATTATTTTTTAATACAAGTACGAGCTTTTAGATTGAATTTCAAGGAAGCCTATTAAGTAACTTGGTGTAAACATGTCTTCTTAGCTAGGACTAAAAAACACGATTTTAAAAAATACTAGCAGAAGAGTTAGGTTTAAGTGTGAGATCTGAATTTAAGATTGCTCAGCTGCATAAATTGATTACTGAAAGTCCCGATTATGATGAAGAGTTTATTTGAGAATTACTGGCTGCAATTAGAGAAGAGTGGGGGGGGGGAAGAGAACATTAAAAAGGAGAAACAATACGAGAAAGAGATGAAAAACAAAAAAGAGAAAAGAACGAAAAAAAAAAAAAGACTAGAACATGAAAGATAAGACTGAAAAGAAAGACAGCGAATTAGAGCCTTTGAGCTGCAGAAACTAAGCAATGACTGCAAAAACACAGCTGTAAAGCCACGTAACATTTTTCAGTAACATTAACCTGAAATTAGGCAGTTACCTGAGCAAAACCTTTGAAAATCAAAATTCATGACATCATGCCATGTTTTAATCCTAAAGAACATGGAATAAATTCATTTCTGGTGTTATTTCAGCATCAAGCAAAAATTGTGAATATACCTGTTGAAAA